CGGTGAAGATGAGAGTGGGAACAGAGACAGAGAAGTTCTGGGACAGTCTCTGGGAGTTGCAGGCTGAATGCACGGGGCTGTTGTGGGTGGAGCGGCATCCGTGGGCAAGGGGAGACCTGGGCCAATCAGCACACAGAGAGAGAGGAAGACAAGAGGACCAATTTGGACACAAGCGGCAAGAAACGTCCCAATCCAAATGTAGCCAGGGAGGGAGAAAGAGACGCATACAAAGAACCAAGACCACAATATTGCAACAGAGTGAAAAGGAGACAAAAAAAAGAAAAAAGAAAAATGTTTTTACTCCCTGTCTTTGCCCATATTTTTCAATTCAAAGCCATGTGATAGCAGCAGGTGGCTCATGCACAGCTGTAAGCTAAATATTTCAGTCTCCCACAGAAGGGATGCAAACACCATAAATAATACCCAAACAGGCACAAGGACAAACTGGACGTACAGTGCTTTAGACAATAATTCAGCCCTTGGACATTTCCACATTTTACAACGTCTTAGAATTCTAATAGATTTCAGAGTTTCCCACAGAATGACAGAATACCTGTGGCGTCAAGAGGGGGAGAAGATTTAAATTGGGGCGCTGGCAGTCTAGTGGTAAGTGCGCGTGTCCCATGTACAGAGGCTGTGGTCTTCCAAGCAGACTACCCGGGTTTGAATCCCTATCTCTAAATAAAAGGCATAAAATCTCTAAAATAAAACTTAGACTAAAAGACTATCATCTTGCTTCCCTTAACTTTCTCTCCTCTTAATGCACCCAGCTGGTCTCGCCACGCTCTCTGCAATTATGTGTCCTCCTCACCTATGACTATCTTTATCTGCAATCAGTATGTTTTATGAAGTTGCCTAAACAATAAGGCAACCCATTTTTAAATGTTCCACTGGCAATTCCACTAGCAGAGCATCAGGAGGTTCATATTAAACATGAAATGACGCACCACAATCAATGCATTTAAGAGACATAACAGCGGACGTCTCTCTCTCTCTCTCTCTACCTGCAGAGCATACAGAGGCTACACACCACAGGTATAAAGCGAGTGCAGATCGTCTATTACTTTATCGATCTGCGATGGTGATCATATACAGATAAAAAAGAAAAAAAGAAACGCAAAAATGCTTCGGCAGCCATAAATATACCTTAAGTCTATTTGTGGGAAAGACTTGACTTAATGGGGCTCTTTACCATTTGATTAAAAAACAAGAGCAGTCCAAAAAGCAGACAGCTGTTTGTTGCCAAGTCAGCCAGAGAGCAATTGGTAGTACCTGACCTTAGCTAAGAGTAATCCAAGAAAACAAACAGAAGCTTTCAATTTGTTACCCCAATCAAATCCATTTGAACTTGCAGTTGTAACATGTGTTAAGGTCAAGGGTTTGAATAATTATGCACCACACTGTGATTTTCTACAAAAATGCACCCAGATAAAAAGCAAGTAATTTCAACAGAAAGAGAAACAAGACCATGAACGAAAAACAGTTTTTGAAATGGATTAATCGTTGAAAGAAATCAAAACATTTAGTTTCAACTTCTAAAAAAAGAATCTGCTGCTTTCCTTCGAAAAAAGGTAAAATCAAAGACAATTAAGAAATCTGTTTTTTTTTTACAGTCAATATAATCGAATAATTTGATTAAAGAAAAAATGATTAATGAATTGAAAATAAGTCTGCTATCTGCTGTATTTCATTTAAATAGGTAATAAAGATAGTTATAGTTCATGGATCAGAGAAGTGTACTAGTAAGTTGAGTTGCTGAATACTGTCAACAAATAGTAAAAGTTGTGCCATCTAACGTTTAATTTATTTATAAAGCCAATAATCAATAACACATTAACTGACTGAGTTTATGTTCCTTCAAAATGTTCAGTAACTACTTCAAATTTAGAGAGCAATTAAGCTTAAAAATATTTCTATGCATTAATATGCATAGAAACATTTTTATTAGCTGTATCATTTGATGAAAACAATTTTTTTGGTCTAATTACATTAACAGGAAGGGCATCAACGTCTTCAACAAACTGTGGTTACATACCGCTGACACAGAATATAGTGTATAAATGCAAATAAGAGGCACACATGCACTCAGCCGTAGTTATGATGGATGACGGCACAAGCTAATCACTCAATGGCCAAAACAAAGTCCTGAAGCATACTTTTAGAAGCATAGTAGAATTAATGTTAGCCCGATACTAAAGGATGTGATACTAGGACGTGCAGATGCTATGCGAAAAAAACAAAACATGCAAGAGAAGATAAAAGAGCAGACAAAGAAGGTGGTGGGGTTGAGGGTGGCTGTGTGTGTACTGTACATGTGTGTGTCTCAGGATATGTTGTGTGCTGTTATTTCCATGATGCAATAATGCAATTATGTGACACACAACCTACAAAGGGGAATCAAAGATACTGAGACACACACAGGAGTAACTGCGAGCTACACTTTACACAGGCACAGCATACAATACATTTAGCCCCCACACGCTCTCCCTCTCCTGCACACACGGTTCATCTTTCCCCCCATTCTCGCAAGCTATATTGGCAGTGAAACGCCACATTAAAAGAGGCAGGGTCCATGCTTGTGTTGGTGCTTCATACTCACTCCTTTCCGTCCTTGGAAGGGGAATTGCAGGCATTGGAAGCAGGGGCTGTGTTAGGGTGTGTATGTGTTGGTGTTGGGAGCACTTCCTGAGCTCAGTTTGTCCAGTGTGCAGGCTGTACCTATGGCCCGGACCACCAGCCCAGACTCTCCCTCCAGATCAAAACACTGCAGGTAGCCCACCACTGCATTCCCGCCCATCTCCAGCACCTTGAGCCCTATTTTCCTCTGCAGCTCTCCTATAAAAGAGGGAAAACACAGATTGACAAATAAAAGGGTTCAATTCGGTAAGACTACATTTATTTTGCTCCACACCCAACATGAAGAGAATCAGTGAATTTTCTTACCTGACATAAGAGAGATTAGTCTCTGACGGGCCTCGTTTGACGCCCGAGGAGTTCTAATACGGTCAATCCACTGGTACTCTGGATCCTCATTCACCACAAGTTCCTCCACAAACCCATGCACCATCGCCGCCCGATAGCACCTTGGAATAGATGTGGCTATCACAGACAATAAAACAGACACCACACAGAGTGTTATTCCTTGTTTGACACTGACACATACACAGTTCATCAAAGGAACAAAACAAAGAACAGTGAACCAAAAGTGAAGTCAGACATACTGCAAAAGAACTTGACCCCACAGGAAGACTGTCTGAATCGGTTCAAGTCGTTAAACAGCTCCACTTTGACGAGGACGTTGATCTCCCCTCTGATACCTAAAGAAAATGACAGAAGTAATGCATTATAATAAGGAATGACAGATAAAGAAAATAAACTGTGCAATAATCCGAGTGAGAGAAGTTTATTCTTGTACCATGGATGGTATCATATATTGGAAACCAGCCAGAGATGACAGAGGCAGCCTCAGTGCACAGCAGCGGGTCAATGTCAATGTAAACTTTCCCTATGGCATCGTTAGCACTGTAAGTGTCGTGGTCCAACACAGTAACCTGCAACGGCTCATCCTGCAAGTCCTCATCATCAACCTACACGGCAAGAGAATAACAGGGAAATAAGACAGAAGGGAGCAGTGACAATAGTGTTAGAGAAGCTAGAAATGCTGGAATTAAATGAATTTTCTGGACATTTTGTGATGCATTTAAATAAAGCTACCACTACCTTTAATGCTTAAAAACGAAACAAAGCATTTTACCTCAAATTTGAACCATTCTGAGTTCCATTGTGGATTGAGAGACTTTGGAAAGACATCAGTTTTGAAAGTTGTGTTTCCAAACTTAACCTGATGAATAAGAGTCAAAGTCAACTTCATCGTCAATTTCAAAATATGCCAGACATACAGTGGAATCGAAATTGCGTTTGTCTCCGTCACACGGTGCAATACAAACAAAATAAGGTAAAATAAGATAAAATAAAATAAGATAAAATAAAATAAGGTCAAATAAAATAAGGTAAAATAAGATTAAATAAAATAAGGTAAAAGAAGATCAAATAAAATAAGATAAAATAAAATAAGGTAAAATAAAATAAGGTAAAATAAGATCAAATAAAATAAGATCAAATAAAATAAGGTAAAATAGATCAAATAAAATAAGGTAAAATAAGATCAAATAAAATAAGATAAAATAAAATAAGGTAAAATAAAATAAGGTAAAATAAGATTAAATAAAATAAGGTAAAATAAGATTAAATAAAATAAGATCAAATAAAATAAGGTAAAATAAAATAAGGTAAAATAAGATCAAATAAAATAAGGTAAAATAAGATCAAATAAAATAAGGTAAAATAGATCAAATAAAATAAGGTAAAATAAGATAATAAAATAAAACAAGGTAAAATAAGATCAAATAAAATAAGGTAAAATAGATCAAATAAAATAAGGTAAAATAAGATCAAATAAAATAAGGTAAAATAGATCAAATAAAATAAGGTAAAATAAGATAATAAAATAAAACAAGGTAAAATAAGATCAAATAAAATAAGGTAAAATAAGATCAAATAAAATAAGGTAAAATAGATCAAATAAAATAAGGTAAAATAAGATAAATAATATTTACAGTAATAAATTCTTAATAGTGCAAAAAAGCTACAAAACAAAATGGTAAATAAAATAAAATTTAAAGAAAAAGTAAACTTGAAATGTGCAGTAAACTGAGTGTACTTTTGAATAGACAGCTTCAGAGTTATTAGTCCAGAGTTGTTGGTGGCAAACGGGAAGAGGCACAACACACATCTATTAATATGGTGATACAGAGATTAATAATTAGATTAAAAAGAAAAACACTCACCTCTACAAACGCATCAGTGAGGTCACTGGCTCTGTCCATCACAGGCAAGTGGCGCCCTGCCACAATTTTGGCTTTTAATTTACCTGGCATGGTTCACCTGAGATGTTCTGGAAACAAATGACACCAGAACCAACATACACATATTTTACAGACTTAAAAATGACACTTTCTGTGTGTAATAAACTGCTGCTGCCACTAACAGACTGACATGTGGGGCCTCTTCATTACACAGCAGACACATGTTAGTGACAACATGGAGAGCCCATTCCTCTGTTTACATGCTCACTAGCTAACTAATAACGAGTTCCCTGCTTCTCTCTTATCTCAAAATAGCTTATCGACTCGGGTTTGTAATTAGCTATTGAACTGGTGCTCATGAACGCAGCACCAGATTACAGCCTAGATTATGTTAGCGGAGTAAAGCTAGCATCAAAAGCCACTTAACTGCACTGCAGTCACAACCTCCTTAGCTCTACCTGATCGGCCATGTTTCTTTTTTACAATCACGCCAACACCTATGTACTAAGCAAATCGTCTTTGCCACTTCCAGTGCAACCCAGTTCTTATGCTTACCAGCGCTACAAAACAAACAGGTATCTGTCAAAACAGGCTCGTTTTACTGGGACACTGTTGACAGATAACCGCTCGGCTGACCTCCATAACACGATCGTGTTCCTCATAAACCAAGCAGGAAAAGTGTCGCTGAAGCCAGATAAATGTGTATATATTAGCTGATAAAGTAAACGACTTTACGACCTGCTTATTTAATCGTTACTGGACATGCTGATATTCAAGCCGTGAGGCCAATAGCTAACATTAGCCCCGATAGGAGTGCAGCGCATGATGAATGAGTTTTCAGCAGGGTAAGTGTGTGCTGCCTTCACGTACAACTCGGAAGTTTGTAACCTCCCCATAGGAACGCTAAAAACAAAAACCCAATGTTGATATTTAAATAATCTGGTTCCTCTGGTTGCAAAAATAACACACAAATTAACACTTAGAAGCTACTCTTACTGCTTGAGAACATACATTATGAGATACATATGAAAACAATTAAAGAAGATATAGTTTAACCATGTTTCGCGTTATTGTTTTATTTTTTTTACACAACTTCGTAAAACATATTCCGAAGTTACTTGAAGGCGGCGTGGCTTTGACTGGATATTTGACTGGATATTTGCAAGTGCGCAATTGTATCGCTCCTCTTGATGTACACATTAAAGCATTGCATTAATTAATAGATTAAATATTTAAATAAACAAATAAAACTGAGTGCATGGTTCTGGTCGGTCTGTCTGTCTGTCTGTCTGTCTGTCTCACATATCCACTCTTCAAACGCTTCAACGAATGATACTTTGCGACAGCCAAACTTAATTCTATAAACTTAAATTTGTTGTGGTTTTGTTACTTGAAACTAACTTGTGGTCTGCCTCTGTCTCAGGATCATTATTCACCAGTCTGTTTGCCTCCAGCTGCTCCACCATAACTCCAACTCACTTTCAACTTCACCTTCACTTCAACAACTTATTCAATAAATCACATCGAGCTGTTTCATAATGCTTCTGTTTTGAGGGTCCTAGAAAAACACAACTTGACATAAATACTCTTGAATTTACGACGTTTTTTGTTTTACCCTATTACATATTTAAAAATCAGTCAGACCATAAATCATTTTTTTTTATGAACTAACAGTCAATTACTTTATAGTATTTAAAAAATACCACATGGCAGGCAAACGATGGAATATACTTAATTACCTCCTCTTACCTTGACCCACTTTTAATGTTACATTTTTTCAGCTTTTTCACAAAAGCAGTACATTTTTCAATTAAATATGTAAAATGATTTTGCAGTGGGATTGGAAAATAACAAGGGCGTCATTGAGGCAAAAATAGATCTGGTGTCTTATACGGCTGGAGACAATACTAAACCTGTCTCTATATAAATCACAACATCCTTTTATTTCTATAGGCCCACAAAACATATCATCACTCTCAAAGGTTAACACCATCTAGGTCAACAATTTACTAAATTTAAAAGATGGTAAGCAATGTGCCATAGAAAATAAATAGATTAATAAATCCAGTTTTTAGTTACAGCATCGTGATATACACATTTTATACACGCCACAGTAAGCACAAGCATGATAAGTTCCAAATTGATTCATTTCAAAACAAATATATTCCATTATCAGTACAAACATTAGCAAGGAGGTTCACAAATATGCTCCATAAACTCATCCATCTTAAAAGTAATGACAGAGCAGTCATGCTTGCCTGGTAACCCACATAAAGCTGTAAACATCTTGTCAGAAATATTAGTTTCATGGTTAGCACTGTCACCCTACATCAAAGAAACGTCCTTGGTTTGTGTCACACTGGGTTTGTTTCACAGCTGTGGTGTGTGTGTGTGTGTGTGTGTGTGTGTGTTCACTTCAAAGACAGACAAAACAGGTGAACTGTGTCATACTGTAATGCGTCCATGAGCGAGCATAACCTGCATGCTGGAACTCCAGCCTGTCTACAACCCTTAAAATACAAATACAAGTAAAAAGAATGAGTTAATGTGGCAGGTTGAACCTTTAAAGTTGCTGTAAATTACGACACAGAGCTCGTGTCTGTCTCCCAATTATAATAGGCTAGTTCACATAAAACTGCTCTTTACAAATGTTATTTTACTCTTCCCATTCTGGGCCTGTATTCAAGCTGTTGTATGGCAGTAACACATCTTTAAATCCCTTTATTTATGTTAAAGTTTTTTTTTTAAATACTTAAATCTGATAGGCCACATGGAATATAGGCTATCAAAAAGTGTACTACAGGTCTTTTATCATTATTCATGCAGATGTGACATCAGCGGGTTAAAGATTTCACTTTAACTACATTCATATTCACATTATCGGTACCTCATCCCAAGCACCAAGAAAGTGATGGTCAGAGATTTTTTTTAGTAAAATTGCTTAGAAACTAGAGGATGGATTGCCATGTAATGTAATTCATACATGTCCTCTTTAGACAATTTACGAGCTAATCAGGCTTATTTGGTCAAACACCTGTAAAACAAGAGACATTTCCAGCAGCTTCACTGGTTTTATCTTCTTTGGACTAATAGCAGATGTCAACATGTTAAACTATAGGTAACAGAAGTGGACATTTTTACTGGGCCTCCAATCTGAAAATGTAGTTTATTAATCCTAGTTTCAGCATTAGATAGCACCATACAATTAATAAAACTTAAAAGTTGACATGTACTTTTGAGCAACAGCAACAGAAAGAACAAACACATCTGTATCTTGTCTTTCCCTGCAAACATTAGATAGTCTACATTTAAAGATAATGAATATTTAAAATATGGCTGAGTCCTATAACCAGGAGTGCTTTACTGGGATCCATTCTGTTTGTTCATAGGACACCATCCTGTCCAACAGAGGTGACAATCAAACCAGTCAGTGGAGACTTCTTGAGTTTACGAGCAGAGTTTAAGGTTTAAACCCACAAATCCCGTTGACCGGCCAAACATCTTCTTTTTTTTTACCGAGAGGTGGGCGGAGTCATAAAGCCAGAGAGGCTTTACAAAAGGACATGATGTCTCACTAAGTCCTTATTTCAAAGTACCAAACATATGTTACACTGACAGCCAAATCACTGCCAACGAGTCTGTTTTCTGTCATTTTGGGGGAGAAACTTGCTACAAGAGGTAGGACAAGTCATGTTTTTAACCAGAGAATTTAGAGCAGTGATAGGGTTCTTTTCTGTTGAATTGTATTTAATTATTTTTAATATTTTGCTGTTGTTTATGTTCTTGCTGTTTGGTTTAGTTTGCGTTGTTCTTGTTTTTGCTGTTTGTCAAAGCACTTTGTAAACCTGTGTTTTTAAACGGTGCTATATAAATAAAGTTATTATTATTATTATTATTATTATTATTATTATTATTATTATTATAATAGGCTGCATCCTCTCAATAGACGATCAATCCAATAACCGTTAAATAACCTACTGCTAATTTCTCACTCCTGAAAAAAAATGTTTGACAGCATTCCCTGGATTAAATTATATGTGCACCACTGAACTATTTTTCTCTTTTGTTTGTTGTTTATAAAAGGCTCAACAATGTCTGATGAGTAAGTTCTGCCATCACACACTTTAAAGACTTAGTTTTCCAGCATTTATTGTCCTGTGAAGCATTCTAGTCCCAGAATAATAACAGTGTCTTTTGTTGGCTTGTCTATTTCTGATTTATTTGGTCCAACAAATTCCACATGGCCATCGCAGTGATGTAAGTCAAATCCTGCATGTCTTAAAATGATGTCTCAGCTCAAAAATTCAGAAAAAGTTGAAAGGAATTAGAGGTTGTTTATGGCTGAAATGCTTTTTCTTTATTCCTTTCTCATTAGTACAGACCACCATCCATGGCTGCCAAGCCAGAAGGAAAGGTAATGAACTGACAGCATGTCTAGGAATGATATTCCCATTGTGCAGACGTTTCAAGTGTTTGCATGTTTGAATATCTCAATCTGTTTACCCAAATAACTACCCTGCAGAAAACAGATTTACAGAGCAGATTGTATCATGTCCTATCATAACAACTCTCTGTCGCATGGAATATTCATTCCATTGAATTAACAATGTCCATGTGCTACTTACAATTTGATTGTAAGAGGTTTTTATTTTTTTTTAGCTACCTAAGCTTTAATGCTGTGAATAAGATTTAAATTAAGAAGTTTGCTGTGCTGTGTTGTTCAGTGACATCAATTGTTATTTTGCATGGTCAGTGGACATTTTCAAAGAGATAACATGGGACACAAGGTACTAAGATGAGTGAATTACAACTTTCTTTTTTCTGTTGACAAATCCATGACAGCATGAGCTGCTACTGTATAGTAAGATATAAAGGAAGATGATAAGAGGGTGAAACGTAAACAAGGGGCAGCTGTGACCTTGGAGTTAGAACTGGTTGTCCACCAATGAGAAGATATATTGTCCTTGGGCAAGATATTTTAGCCTCAAATAGCACCTGAAGACATTGCGTGTGTGTGTGTGTGTGTGTGTGTGTGTGTGTGTGTGTGTGTGTGTGTGTGTGTGTGTGCCAAAAGACTAGAAAGACACTTAGCACAATTAGCATCTGTAATTGTTTCAAACCAGGAACTTATTATAAGCAATTAGAGATAATATGTACATTTGAATTACAACATATTTAGGCTACTTAAAATGTTGATTTTTTTATATTTTCTATTGTTTTCAGCCCAAATGCAAGATTTCAGCCTCCCGTAAACTATCGTTGAAGGTAACTTTTTGACAAAAATGTGTTAAATTTGATATTTGAACTTATTACACACTGCACAAATCTATTTACATCAGAGACCCTTTCTCTGCACACAAACCTCTACCTATGTTCCCGCCGACACCTTCAGATCCTTCTGCTGACTCGTGCGTCGGAGGAGCTGGAGGCAGAGAAGGCTGCGAGAGAAGAAGAGAAGGTTCGCTACATTGGAGAAAAGCTTCCCCCACTGCAGCTCACTGCCTTAAACATGGATGAACTGCAGGCAAGAATTTAAAACAAAATCTGATTAAAAAAAATGAAAACAACACAGAGACCCAGAGACCAAACTATACAAGATTGTTCATGTTCCTTGTTTTCGCAGGAAATCTGTCAGCAGATGCATTCACAGATTGATGCGGTGGATGAAGAGCGATACGACTTTGAAGCCAAAGTCTTCAAGAACTACAGAGATGTATGTTATCCCCCCAACAAAGCAGATTTAATATGAAATACTTATTTAGAAGTATATAAAAGAAAGATTGCTCTTTATCAACAAAACTTTCACACCTTTTTTTGTTTTTGTTTACACCTACAGATATATGAACTGAATCTCAAAGTGCAGGACCTCGGAGGAAAGTTCAAGAAGCCAGCTTTGAGGAAGGTGAGAGTGTCAGCGGACGAGATGATGAAAGCTCTCTTTGGCTCTAGAACCAAAGAGTCCGTGGACCTGAGGGGAAACCTGAAGTCTGTAAAGAAAGAGGACATAAAACAAGAGAAGGTATGGCTACTCTATCAGATATATCTGAAATCTTTATAAAAGAAAGAAACTGCAAAAACCTAATGTGTGTTTTTGTGTGTGTGTCTTTTTAAGGAGATGAACATGGAGGTGGGTGACTGGCGCAAGAACGTGGAAGCCATGTCTGATATGAAGGGCAGGAAGAAGATGTTTGATGCATAAGGTTAACAAGTTAGAAGTGTGTTACAACAGATTGAATGTTAAAAAATATATATGTTTATAAAAAAGAAAAAATGCAAAACCTTTATAAAATAAAATAAAATGTCCCTTGTTCATAGCATTCTGAATACACAGTATATTACTGCCTGATAATGCTGTACTGTAAAAGAAAAATACAATACATTTGTACATTATGCCTATCATTTGTTTAACCAAGATTTATTCACATTAAATTTGAGGCAAATGTTCTGGAGAATACTTTTGTTGAAGTTTTGCAATACCTTTGATCTTGACATTGTCCTCTAAAGTTATTAAAAGGGTTTTGTTGTTGTTAATCATGTACAGTCTCTGCTAAGCTATGCCATTGACCTACTAGGCACAAAGCACCTGAGATATTTACTGTCAGAGGCAGGATATACTTAGCCTTTCCCCTGGACTGGAACGAATTCCTGTCACATAATAAACAGTAAACACTGGACGTCCTTGGATTGATATCATGGTTTGTCAGTAAGATGAAGGTTGAATGATGGAGTCAGCAGCCTCTGAAATAATGTACGAGCACTCGTGGGCATCTGTGCAAATATAGTTTGTACCAGTGTACATATATACATATATATATTCTTACTGTGCAGAGCAGTTTAAATGCTTTAAATTGTCCTCATGCCTCAGAGTCGTGCTGGTTATGTTCTCAGATTTCTTTTGTCTTACCTAGTGGTTTACGTGTATGTATATGTATAAAGCCTCTGTATAGACAAAAAAGTATTCTCTTGGGCCATGATAATCAGCAATCTAGATTCATTTTCAAGTCGCAGGACCACCCAAAAGCAAGAAACCATTGACCATAGTCACTTGGCGGACATTTCCAAATGCTGTTTGACTGCTCACAAAGTATAAAATGCTTACTTTGGCTGTTGTCTATTGGTAGCTTATTGGTTATTAAATATTTAATTTGACAGACTTCTTTCCAGAATTTATATATTTATAGACTTTTCAGTGGCTGATTGATTGAAGTAAAATCATAGCACAGGAAAGA